TTATTTATATTTTATATTTACATTTAGAAAATATATATAGAGTAGTTATTTTTATTTTAATTGGACTCTAATTATAAATTAGAATTATACTATTAGAACTCTAACTAATATAGTATTCTACTTAACATGAAATCCTTATCAACACTTCCCCTCAAGTTAGCACAAAGATATCACATATACCCAACTTGTAAATCAGATTCTGAAAAGATTTGTTACATAATCCTTTAGTAAAAATGTCAGTCACCTAATCGTCAGAAAATACATGATATAAGCATAGAGAGCTATCAACCACCTTCTCTTTTATAAAGTATCGATCAATTTTAATTTGTTTTGTTCTGTCATGTTGAACTGAATTATGAGTAATGTTAATTGTTACTTTATTGTCACAAAACAGGGATAGTTTCTCATCTTTAAGTAATTTTAACTCCTTCATTAGTTTTTACAACCATAGTAATTCACATACTTCTTGAACAATTACTCTAAATTCTGCCTCAGCATTGAAACGGGCAACTACACTTTATTTCTTACTTTTTCATGAATTAAGTTGTCTTTTACAAGTGTGCAGTGACCTGTAATTGATCTTCTATCATCTAGGAACCCAACCCAATCGACATCTGTAAATACTTCTATTTTAAGGTAATCATGCTTAGAAAAGAGAAGACATTTTCCTGGTGCAGACATTTTCCTGGTATAAACTTCAGGTATCGTAATAGGCGGAAACTAGTATGTAAATGAGTCTCACGAGAATCATGCATGTACTGACTCACAAGACTAATTGCATATGTTATATCAGGTCTGATATGTGAGAGATAAATGACTTTTACAACTAGTTTCTGGTATCTTTCCAAGTCAACTAATGTACCCCTACCTGTTTGCAATTTGTGGTTGCTCTCAATAGCTAATTATGTCGGCTTGCAACCCATCATAGTAGTCTCTTCTAATAAGTTTAGGATATACTTCCTTTGAGAAATGAAATCCTTTTATTGGATCTGGCAAATTCAATCCTTAAGAAATATTACAATTTTTCTAAATCTTTTATTTCAAATTCTTGAGCAAGAAATTCCTTCAACCGAGTCATTTCCTTTGTGTCATCTGCAGTCACCACAATATCATCCACATAAATGATGAGAAGAGTGATCTTACCCTCACGATATTGATAAACAAGGTATGATCAGCATTGCTTTATTGATATCCAAAAGAGATCATAACTCTTTTAAATATTTCAAACCATGCTCTTTGAGACTACTTTAATCCGTATAAGGCCTTTTTTATTTGGCAAACTTTTCTTTACGTACTCTCATCTTCAAATCCATATGAAATTTTCATGTATACTCCTTCCTCTAAGTCTCTATGGAAGAATGCATTTTTTACATCAAACTGCTATAAATCTGAATCAAAATTAGCTACGCAAAACAAAAGTATCCTAATTGTGTTCATCTTCGCAACAGGTACAAATGTTTCCTGATAGTTAATTCCATAGGTCTGAGTAAATTCCACTATCTATATATTCTGTACCACTGTCAATTCGCAGAATCTTAATTTTAACACCAAATTGTATACATATCATTTTGTGGAAAAATTGAAAACATAAAAATACATCATTTCTTTTAACAGATAAATCCATTTTAATCTAGTACAACAGTTAATAAAAATAACAAACCATCTATAATCAGAAAGAGAAGTATTCTGAGTAGATCACTACACATCAGAGTGAATAGTCATAAAGAGATCAGTACTTCCATTATTACTTAAATGATAAGAGTTTCTCTTATGTTTAACAAGTTCGCATGCATCACAAAACAAAAACTCCATAAAAGTTCTTTTAAATAACTTAAAATATAATTTTTCTAAAATAAAAAAAGAGGATGTTCCAATCATCGATGTCATTGTAATATCTTCATATTGACTTCTTTATTCCCAATGGTTGTTTGATTTCTAATTAAGTTCATATGTCTATTCAAGATATATAAGTCATCTTGCAGTGTACCAGTGTCAATCCTCTTCTCGATTTGAAAATTCTAAAAGATGCAACGATCAAGAAAAAATTCAATTTTACAGTTGAGATCTCTAGTTATGACTCTAATAAATAAAAGATTATCAGAAAAACTAGGCACATATAAAACTGAAAACAGTGTAATAGTAGAAGTATAATTAATAAAACTTGTTCCCGACATGGGGGGGTGTATGATCTATCTGCTATACGGACATCATCCCCTTCAGTACAAGAAAAATAGGTTAAAAATTTTTTAAAATAACCTGTCGTGTGTCTGTTATCTTCAGAGTTTATAATCCAATTACCAAGAGTGGAAATAGGATAACAATACATAATTTTACCATATTTAATGTGCCAACAGTTGATGGATAGTTAAGTTAACTCAGAAGGCGCTTCAGATTTTAAATTTTTTCTGTGGAAAAGGCTCCAATAAATGGTGAACCAAGTGTTTTCCTAGTTTCAACAAAATTTGTTTGAGCTCTTGTGGTTCCACCTCTTCTTCCTCTCCGACCTCCAATTAATCTTCCATGCAAATTCCAACAAATTTTCCTAGTGTATCTTGGCTTGCCACAATAGTCAGACTTCCATATATATCTGGATTGATCAGAATGAATAACTAATCCAGCCTTCTCAACTAGTACAATGTGAAGCATGGCATTTTTTCTACTTTATTCTTACTAAACATAAGTATAAATTTGTAGTAATGAAGAAAAAGGATTTTTACCAAGCACTTGGACCTGTATTTGATCATATTCGGGTGTTCACACCAGCTAAAAGATTATGAATTCGTTTTTTTTCCATCAATTTTGTGAAATTTGACTGTATTTGCAGGACACTCTATTTGAAAATCTTTATATTAATTTAACTCCGATCATAATCCATTCAATTCGAAAAATATTGAGAAATAGTCATCTCTCCTTATTTGTGTGTCATGAACTTTATTCCAAATT